TAGGAAGTTAAATATTTGGCCCATTTAAAACATAAGAATTTAAAAGATACTTTATTTTAGCCCTTCTACTTTCAAAAACCATAGAATAGAATTTATAAAACAAATATTTTTATTCTAAAATTTTCGGGGTGTTACACCTAGAGGCCAGATCCCCCCTATCTCTTTCTCCAAATATCCTCTCTGATGATGGCGACGAGTGCAGTCGTAGAGACGAGGATGAATGTCGCGCACAGAGCTACTCGAGCGAGGAGATGCATCACCTCTGTGCGCTGCAGATCGCGAATATCACTCTCTGTAATGAAGATGATTGTTGTTGGGTTAGATGTTTTGTTGGTGGTAACGAAGACGGTGGCTGTGGCGATTGTTGAGACCAGTTAATGGGTTGTGGTGGTGCCATGACGTCGAAGGCGCCTTGCACGGTAAATGGTAGTAATACTGGTTTACATGTGTTTGGTGGTGTTTTTTGTTTGTGGCAATGGTGGTGGATCTAGTACTAATGAGGGATCTAGCGGCGGAGGTGGGTTTTGTTGTTGTTGTTTCGTGTTTTGGGATTTTACACTGATTTGTGGATCTGTGATTTTGTGNTGGCTATGGTGTTGTTGTTGTTTCGTGTTTTGGGGTTTTATACTGATTTGTGGATCTGTGATTTTGTGGTTGGTGATTGTGCGGTGTTGGTGATTGTGGATCTGTGGGTTTGTGGTTGGTGGTGGAGGTGGTTTTTGGGGGGTTTTTTTTGTTGGTGATGGATATTGGCGGCGGTGAGGTGGTTTTACTGTGGATCTGCCATAGTTGGCAAATTTGGTGGCGATCTGCAGCAGTTACGATCTGGCCGTGAATGATTGGTGTGGTTGTTGGCGATGGTGGTGTTGGCAGCGGCTGGCGGCAGGGTGGTCACAAAAGTTGGTAGTGGTCACACAAAAAATCTAACTGTGACCTTAAAATTGTAACTAGAAATTAATCAGTGACCAATAAATTTGAAAATATATGACTGATAGATAACTGTGATCAGTAATTTTTGGATCCGTGACCAATAAAATAATATGTGACCTATAAAACTATTGATTTGTGACCTCGAAATAATTAGTGGCCTACAAAATTTTTGATTAGTGA